ACACACACGCGCACAAATAGTAATAATAAAATAAAATTAAAATAAAATAAAAATAATATTGAACAAACAAATAAAAGAATACATAAATAAAACAATAATAACAAAAACAACAACAATAATAACAATAACAATAATAGTAAAATAAATAAATAAAACAAATAATATCAAACCACGATGCATAAAGACAAGCCAGCCCAAGAGTTGCAAAGGGAGGGAGGGAGTGAGGGAGGAGGGAAGGAGGATGCGCCCAAACACACACTCTCTCTCGCATGGGCGTCTTGGCTTGAATAATGGAGACTGAACGGCACTTGCAGCGGGACGCCGGCACCAAAACGTCTGGTGACATCAGACGGAGGCGGGGCGGGGGGAGAGAGGGAGGAGATAAAAGGAGGGGGGAGGAAGGGGGAAGGAAGGCGGAGGAGAAAGGAGTGGAGGAGATGAAAGGACGGAGAAAAGGAGGGAAGAGGGGAAGAGAGGCGGAGGGGGAAGGAGGGGAGGAGAAAGGGGACGGAGGGAGGGGGAAAGGGCGGAGGGAGGGGGAAGGAGGGGGGGAGGGAGAAAAGGTGGGACAGGGAAAGGAGGGACAGGGAAGGGACAGTGAGGAGGGGGTGAGAGAGGGCGAAAAGAGGGGAGGATACAGGGAAAGTAAAGGGAGGAGAGAGAGAGAGAGAGATTACAAGGAAGCGTTCATGGACTAATTGCATATATGAGATCCACCCTCATTACCAGCTGTCTTCCTGTTCCAAGAGCCAACAGGAGTCCGGAGTTCCTTATCTTATATTAAGCGACAAACGACGAGTATCCTGTATTATATATATATATATATATATATATATATATATATATATATATATATATATATATATATATAATATATATATATATATATATATATATATATACATTATATCAATCTATATATATACATATATATTCTTATACCTAAATATATCATGTATATCTAATATATATATATATATATATATATATATATATATATATATAATATATAATATATATATATATATATATATATACATATATACACACACATGTATATACACATATATAAACAAAATATATAAACAAATATGCACACACACACACACACATTTATATATATATACATATACAACCCAAGCCAAGAGAGGCATCGGGGAGAGAGAGAGACAGACTTCGCCAGCGCCCATCCCCGCCCACGATGGGGTTCTCGGGCACTTCCAATTTCACGCCCGCATGAACCCCATCAGATTGGCCCTTTCCTTCCCGTCGCGTGGTCTTGACGAGGCCTTAACGTTATCCTACATCAGTGATTAAATAATCGTTACTTGCATACACAAATACCCCTAGAGTCAAATAATCAAAACATTAAAAAACTAAATAAATAAAATAAAATAAAGAATAAAGTGTAAAATAATCAAAACATTTTAAAAAATGGTTTGTTAACGTTGCTGGCACACTCACTCTTCCTTATCACAGTACGAAATAGAGAACAATACAGAATACATATACCTATATACCTATATATACCCATATACCACACCATATACCTCGTAAACTCGATCGTAGCAATCACACAGACCAGACAAACACCGCGCCAACCCAGGAAATCGGCACAAGCAAAGATTTCGCCAATCGGGCAAATGTTCTCCCTCTCTCTCTCTGTCATCTTCGGGTGAAATAACTGTAACTGCTCACTGCGCTGTTAGCAGGAGCTCCACTTGGGGCTCATTCCGCGCGCGCCTCCCCTCTCCGCCACGTGAGGTCGCGGCCGGAGAGACTGGCTTTTGAGAAGACTATATATATATTTTTTTTTAAGGGAAAATGCAACACTTGGTGATCGAGGCGAATTTATGAGGGGCCTTGCTACAGCTGATGTAAACAAGATACTTTTTATCCCTCCACATTTGTAAAACGTGTGTATACAATTCGAAAGGTTTTACAGTTCACGTATACAACACCTAATGCATGAATATACATATATATCTATATCTATCTATCTATCTATCTATCTATCTATCTACATATATATATATATATATATATATATATATATATATCACATTTTCTATACGTAAAACTGAGCAGATAATCATGCATAATCAACTTGTAATATACAACCCAAGCAATAACCACAAACTTGTATACGACGCGCTGTGTCTGCCTCCTACATCCACGGGCAGACACGTGCCTGAACACATGCGAAAACCCGCAAACACGCGCGCAGGCAGACACACACAGACACACAAAAGAGAAAATCCAGTAAGCCACTCCATAATAAAAACCCCGCAAACACGCACGCAGACAGACACACACACAAAAAAAAAAAAGCCAGTAAGCCACTCCATAAAAAATCCCCGAAAACACGCACGCACGCAGACAGACACACACACAAATAAAAGAAAAGCCAGTAAGCCACTCCATAATAAAATCCCCGAAAACACGCACGCACGCAGACAGACACACACACAAAAAGAGAAAAGCCAGTAAGCCACTCCATAATAAAATCCCCGCAAACACGCACGCACGCAGACAGGCACACACACAAAAAAAAGAAAAGCCAGTAATAAAATCCCCCAAATGCGTTCCGAAGCGCCGGGCCAAGCCCATGCATTCGCTCGCGACGGAACAACCGGTATTTACAGCAGTCGCCAGCCCGGACCGCCGAGATAAGGGGCCGTGGCACTCGCCTCCCCCCCTCCCCCCCCACTCCCTCCCCTCCTCTTCGGGCCTTCTGGCTTTAAACTACGTATAGCGAACTTGGCCTTCCTCGGGAGGAGATCTTCGCGGAGCAATGCCACCCATTCCGTGCCTCGCCGCAGATGTGATGCGCCTTGGCACTGCCTTGGAGATTCGGAAGGTTTAAGAGCTTTTCGAACTGGTTTTATAATTCTGTCTCCTTGCCTGCCTGCCTGCCTGCCAGCCTGCTTGCCTGTCTACCTGCCTGCTTTCCTGTCTGTCTGCCTGCCTGCTTTCCTGTCTGCTTACCTGCCTGTCAGTCTGCCTGCCTGCTTGCCTGTCTGCCTGTCCTGCCTACCTGCCTGTCAGTCTGCCTACCTGCCTGCTTGCCTGTCTGCCCAGTCTGCCTACTGCCTGCCTTGCCTGTCTGTGTCTGCCTACCTGCCTGTCAGTCTGCCTAACTGCCTCAGTCTGCTTGTCTGTCTGCCTGCCTGCTTGCCTGTCTGCCAGCCTGCTTGCATGTCTGCCTGCCTACCTGTCTGCCAGCCTGCTTGCCTGTCTGCCTACCTGCCTGCTTGCCTGTCTGCCTACCTGCCTGTCTGCCTACCTGCCTGTCAGTCTGCCTACCTGCATGCTTGCCTGTCTGCCTACCTGCCTGCTTGCCTGTCTGCCCTGCCTGCTTGCCTGTCTGCCTACCTGCCTGTCAGTCTGCCTACCTGCCTGCTTGCCTGTCTGCCTACCTGCCTGTCAGTCTGCTACCTGCCTGCTTGCCTGTCTGCCTGTCAGTCTGCCTACCTGCCTGCTTGCCTGTCTGCCTACCTGCCTGTCAGTCTGCCTACCTGCCTGCTTGCCTGTCTGCCTACCTGCCTGTCAGTCTGCCTACCTGCCTGTCAGTCATTGCTGTCTGCCTACCTGCCTGCCTGCCTTGCCTGCTGCCTGGCCTACCTGCCTGTCAGTCTGCCTGCCTGCCTGCTTGCCTGTCTGCCTACCTGCCTGCTTGCCTGTCTGCCTACCTGCCTGCTTGCCTGTCTGCCTACCTGCCTGTCAGTCTGCCTACCTGCCTGCTTGCCTGTCTGCCTACCTGCCTGTCAGTCTGCCTACCTGCCTGTCAGTCAGTCTGCTTGTTTGTCTGTCTGCCTACCTGCCTGCTTGTCTGTCTGCCTGCCGGCCTGCCTGTCTGCCAGCCTGCTTGCCTGTCTGCCAGCCTGTTTGCCTGTCTGCCAGCCTGCTTGCCTGTCTGCCAGCCTGCTTGCCTGTCTGCCTGCCTGCCAGCCAGCCTGCCTGTCTGCCAGCCTGCTTGCTTGTCTGCCTGTCTGCCAGCCTGCTTGCCTGTCTGCCTGCCTGCCAGCTGCTTGCCTGTTTGCCAGCCTGCTTGCCTGTCTGCCAGCCTGCTTGCCTGTCTGCCTGGCAGCCTGCTTGCCTGTCTGCTTGCTTGTCTGTCTGTCTGCCTGCTTGCCTGTCTGCCTACCTGCTTGCCTGTCTGCCTGCCTGCTGTCTGCTTGCTTGTCTGTCTGTCTGCTTGTCTGTCTGCCTACCTGCTTGCCTGTCTGCCTGCCTGCTTGCCTGTCTGCCAGCCTGCTTGCTTGTCTGCCTACCTGCCTGTCAGTCTGCTTGTCTGTCTGTCTGTCTGCCTACCTGCTGCCTGTCTGCCTGCCTGCTTGCCCTGTCTGCCTGCTTGCCTGCTTGCCTGCTTGCCTGTCTGCCTGCCTGCCTGCTTGCCTCCCAACCTGCTTGCCTGTCTGCCTGCCTGCTTGCCTGTCTGCCAGTCAGTCTGCCTGCCTGCCAACCTGCTTGACTGTCTGCCTGCCTGTCTGCTTGCTTGCTTGCCTGCCTCCTTGCTAACCAACCAACCACCCCAGCCAACCCTTCCCCCTACCTGCCTGCCCGTCCAAGCCCCCCTGCCCTTCCGCCACTCCCTTCCTCCCTTGCCCGTCTCTTTGGCCACTCTCGTCAACGCCCGTCCTTCCCGTGGCCGCCCGATGAGCTGGCGGCGTCCTCCCCCTCGGAAGGGCGGCGTGGCGCGGCTCCTTCGTCGAATCGGCCACCGAGGGACCGCAAGAATGGGACGAGGCAAGTTTAAATCCCGATTTCAGAAACAAAATATGGTTTCATCTCACCGTTTTAATAAATATAATGATACACTGTAAATGAAAACAATATCGCCAAATAAGAAAATCATACACATGTCTACATTAAGATACATGCTATTCACCAAATCATACACGAATTTCAACCAAAGCAGGTGTATTCTGAGTACAGACAAGAACTATTCACCACAGAAGGCGTATTCTGAGTACAAATACCGATATTAACCAAAGCAGGTACATTCTTAGCACAAATACAACAGCTATCAACCAAGGGAGGCATATTCCGAGTACAAATAAACGCATTCCAACCAGTATCACTCGGGAACACATCTCGTCGAGCACGGAGAAATAACCACCGCACCGCATCTTGACGCGCAGCCGAGCACACAGCCGCCTCTCGCCCGAAATGCCAGGCCGCGACGCCCGGCGCCCAACCCCTACCCTTTCCTCCGCTCGGGCCTCTGCGCCTCGGGCTTTAGGGTCTTCAGCTTTCCTGTCGTCAACGCCGCCGCCTTCTCCTTCTTTTACTTCTTCTTCTTCTTCTTCTGCTGTTTCTTCCTCTCCCATCTCCATCTACTCTCTTTCTTATTCTCCGTTTTTTCTTTCTTCATCTCCATCTCCATTTTTCTATCTTCGTCTTCACTTTAATTTCCTCCTCCACCACCACCACCTCCTCTTCAACCACCTCCCTCCCTTCCTCCTCCCTCCCTCTCCCCTTCCACCTTCCACCTCCACCTCCACATCCCAATGCACCCCCCCTCCCCCCTCTTTCCCTCTCCCTCTCCTCCCCTTCCACCTCCACCCCTCCCTCCCAGTTTCCCTCCCCCTCCAACCTTCCTCCCCTCTTCCTCCCCCCCCTCCACCTCCCTCTCCCTCCCTCCCTCTCCCACCCTATCTCCCACCCCTTCCTCCCTTCCTTCCTTCCTTCCTCCTCGGCATCCCGTCTCTCCCCTTCCCAGACCACCGAACCTCCTCCCCTCGAGAAAGGGCCTTGCATCGGTTATCCCATTGTTCCCCGCCGCAGGAACGACATCGCCAAGTGGACCCCGGCCGAAAAAGAGGACAAATTACCCGAATTCGTTCCGAGGTTCCGGACGCGCGCGTTTTATTGTCTATTTTTATCAGTCGAAGAGTTGCAGAGAGGGAGAGGGCCGGGAGATTTTGCGGAGAGTTGCATGGGAAATCAGGGCGGGACGAGGAGCAGGAGGCAGGAGGGGGAAGGGGAGGAGGGGGGGAAGGAGAGGAGGCAGGAGACAGAAGGAGGAGGAGGGAGGGAGGAGGAGAGGGGGAAGGGGGTGAGAGGGAGAGGGAAGAGGGAGGAGGCAGGAGGAGGGAGGAGGAAGGAGGGAGAAGGAGAGAGAGGAGGAAGAGGAGGAGGGAGGAGGAAAAGGAGGTGGAATGAGAAGCATGGAAAGGAAGGCTATGGAGGCGTGGTGAAAAGGAGGAATAATAATGATGATGATGATGATGATGATGATGATGATGATGATGATGATGATGATGATTGGTGATAACGATGACGATGACGACGATGATAACGATAACGATGACGATGACGACAATGATAACGATAACGCCAACCACGACGATGACGAGCAAATGTGATTAATAAAAACATAAAAATCAAGTGAACCGCCCAACAAAAACTACCGCTAACGAGGCCGTGAACCCGCGAGCATGCGAGAGCGGGATTAGAACCCTCTTTCTTGCCTCCTTCCATGAAAATAAATAAATAAAATAAATAAATAAATAAACAAATAAAAAAGCGAGGGAATAAACAAATAAAAAAGCGAGGGAGAATAAAAGATAAAGCGAGGGAGAATAAACAAATAAAAAAAGCGAGGGAGAAATAAAAATAAAAGCGAGGGAGAATAAAAAGCGAGGGAAAATAAACAAATAAAAAGCGAGGGAGAAATAAACAAATAAAAAAGCGAGGGAGAATAAACAAATAAAAAAGCGAGGGAGAAATAAACAGATAAAAAGCGAGGAGAAATAAACAAATAAAAAAGCGAGGAGAAATAAACATAAAAAAGCGAGGGAGAAATAAACAAATAAAAAAGCGAGGGAGAAATAAACAGATAAAAAAGCGAGGGAGATCTCCTAGGACTCATCAACCAGGTGACTAACGCGGCCCGAGTCTCGTGCTAACGCGTGCCATAAACGCGACGAGCCGGGGCAGGGAGACAGGGAGACAGGGAGGAGAAGGGAGGCGAAAAGACGAAGCAGACGATGGAGGGGGAAGAGAGGAGACAAACCGACGAGGAGGCGTAGACAGGAGGGGCGAGGCATGGAGGAGGAGGTCGGAGGAGTGTGGGAGAGGGGAGGGGGGGTAAAGGAGGGCGGGGGAGATGGGGAGAGGCGTAATGAAGTTGGAGAAGGGTAAGGAGGGCAGGGAGAGGGGTAAAGAAGGGGGGAGAGGGTTAAGGAAGAGGGGAAGAGAGGGGTAAGAAGGGGGGAAGAGGCTAAGGAAGGGGGGAGGGTTAAGGAAGAGGGAAGAGAGGCAAGGGTGGGACAGAGGGCTAAAGAAGGGGAGGGAGATGGATAAAGGAGGGAGAGAGGGGTAATGGGGGATAGGGGTAATGTAGGGGTAAAGAGGGTAAAGGGGGAGAGGGGCAATGGAGGGGGGGGGCGGGAGAGAGGGATTTAAACTTGCAACCTCACGACCACCTCCGAGCCGCCCACACCGCTCCTGTGTGCGGCACACCTGACCCACACTCAGCGACACGCTCTTCACAATTGTTTTGCCCTCGCCTTCGTGTGGCAACAGAAACAGTAAACGGAAGCTTTCGAAAAGGAAGAACCCGTAACGCTGTGGTAGAAAACCAGGATCAGATATTTTTATTTTATTTTATCTTCTTCACTATTTGCTGTTGTTGTTGTTGTTGTTGTTGTTGTTGTTGTTTCTTCTTCTTCTCTGTGATATACAGGTGTCTGTGTCTCCCGTCCACCCACACGTACATAATTGCGTACCTTTTGTAATGTTAATCCGTGCGCTGCTCCCAAACGACACGGCCTTATCTCGAAGCCCGAATACAATCGAGTTAGTTTGTTCTCTTTCATGACGCCGCCCTTTGAATGTCGGATTCGTTGGCCGTTCATTATCGTGATTAATATCATCGCTGTCGCCAAAAGAAAGAAAGAAAAAAAAAAACGCGCAACGGCCCCGAGGCAAGAGAATCCACCAATCACAGTCCAATCCCACAAACATAAAATAACCAATCAAGCCACGCCTCTTTTACTTCCCAAATCACCTTTCCATTCACGTCTTCTCTCCATCCATCATTAATCCCGTGTACTGATGCTTAGCAACGTCGACACGCCCCCCGCAAAGCCCATGACGCAATCGGTATCAGCAAACAGAACGCACAGACGCTTCCCCCGCCGACCTTTGCCAAATACGGGCCGCCGCCTCCCTGCACAGCTTATACATATGTACCCTCGTCTCATTATGTGCCTGGAGGCTCTCTCTTAATCCCGTCGCAGGGGCTTCGTTCCTCCGACGTCGAGGGACCTGCAGCCGCTCCCCCGCCCGCCCTGGCCGAGTCCTACGCCCTTCTCGTATTACATGATAGAGTCCTTTTCATCAAGACATAAATAAAGACGGTAATAAAAAAAGGGCATTTAATGAAAAGACATTTTACAAAAACGTCTACTTCCAGGTCGGTAAACTTCGCTCACGTCAGCTTTTCGTTCGGACGTACGAATGGCCACGGAATAAATAAATGAACATAAGGTGTACAAGAATTTGAATTATCTCACGACCTCCCCAGTCTGAGGCCACGGCGAGGTCCTCGTGCACTCGGGAATGTGGCCAATAAAAGAAAAGAAAAAGAAAGAAAAAGAGAAAAACAGTTCGTAATCCTCAATGAAAATCGTGACTGAACTTCCTTCGCCAGCCAGGTGTCAGCCGAGACTGCGGTCACGAGGTTCCTCTTCGTCCGAATGTTTTAATCGAGCGAGTCTGCATTTGGGGATCGAATGACGTCATATCTCCGTGTCTTGATATCCTCCAAAGGATTCCAGTCTAAAATAAATACATCACATCTTCCCGCGTCCTCTCGCCGGAACCCAGATCCCCAACCGGTCAAACAAGCTTGGCTAAACGCCCCTTCCCCGAACAGCTGACCACGCCTCCGCCAGACTTTCCCCTTACAGAAACATCCCCCACCTTTTCCCTCGTCGAGAAAGTATTCCCACCCGGCCATCCCACGGCGACAGACCCGCACCGGTGCACACGACCCTCAGCCGTCGACACCCGCCTCACCCCTCCTCCACCCGCCCGTGACTCTCGCCCCCGACCTTGCCGCCTCACCCAGCGCCCTCGACAAGACTTCCTCGTCTTCCATGCCTCCTCGTCACCCCCTTAATTCGTTTTCTTTGTGACGCGCGCCGGTCTTGCTGCGCCCGATCATATCCGCTTTGAATTTCCACCCGTCTGTGAATGCGACTTGCATCCCTTGCAATTTAGAAGCTAATGACTTCGTAAGACTACATAAAGCCAAAAAGTTTGAAGACAGAAACACGCCCACCCTGCATACACATCCTCTCATGAATCTACCGATCCCCTAGCCCCACCTTCCAGAGAAGCGCCCACCGCCGAGCACCTTCTAAAACCAATAAGAAAAAGCCCACCAGAGGGAGTCCAAACACCCCCGCGCCCTCTACTACTCCCTCCAACACAAAAAGGGGACGCAGCCGAACCAACTCCCACTCCTCCAACAAGTCCACTCCCCAAAAGCAGCCTAGACCAACTCCCCCAACTGCCATTCCCCTCAGCAATAAACCCGGTGGGGGCGAAGGGGAGCGGGGTGGAAGACCTCCAGCACTGCATTAGCGCGGGGACATGAGTGGCAGCCTTCGACGTACATGGTAACGCCGGCGAGACGAGCAGGCGGGCAGGCGGGCGGGCGGGCGTGCAGGAGACCTGGATTCCGTGAATGGCTTCGAGCGGCCGGGGGAAATGGAGAAAGGGAAGGGGGACACACGGGGCGGTTTCTGCGTTGCAAGCGGTACGAGGAAGTGGCAAGGGCAGAAAAAAAGTAGAGAAGCGGATACAAACAGACACAAAGGGGAATAATCTCCAACCCATCCCGCCGAGAACTTTACACAACAAATAAAATAACAATAAAACAATTAAGACATCTCAGTGTCGATTCACACACACGTTCCGACGCCCGTGAAATGCATGCCAGAAAAAAAAAAAAAAACACGCACTCACCAAATGCCCCTCTCCCCTCCCTCCCGTCCCTCCCAACATCATTTCTATTTTCTTCCTCCTTCTTCTCCTTTCGTAATCATCACAACCTACACAGTGTAACCTCTACCATATGACATCACCTCCCGCCCCCCCTC